CCCCCCCCCCCCCCCCCCCCCCCCCCCCCCCCCCACCTTCCCGTCTCCGCTCGGCGCCTGTTTGGGAAAAGCAGTGCTGCACCCTGCTGATAAACAAGAGGAGTGCAGGGACGCAGAGGTGCACAAGGAGACTGTTGCTTTGTCAAACAGAGCCGGCGTCGTCTCTCTAACACTGAGATCTAGAACACACAAAGTACCGGAGGTCAGTTCAAAGCACAGGCGACGTGCGTCGTGTGAACTGCATCATTCATGTCGAATCCGTCATTTCTACATTAAAGCCGAACTCTCGCTCCTCCAAGGGCGGGTACACGTTGAGGGGTTTTTACCCGGATTAGAGGCGCCTTCTCCGGGGAGATCAGAGGAGAAAAAGAAGGTCACACATCACGTTTAATGCCGAGTGACCTCCACAATAAACTCTCAGTGGGTGCATCCGATCAGATCGATCACTCTGTGTGTGTGTGTGTGTGTGTGTGTGTGTCTGTGTGTGTGTGTTATTCAAAGTGTGCACACAAAAACACCATGACTAAAATTACCGGTGCTAAAACGATTAATCGACTGGCAGGAATTTAATCAACAATAATTAATAGTTTCAGTCATTTAAAGATAATCAGTTTACTGTGAGAGAAAAGTAAGAAAACAGAAATATTCACATTTGAGAAGCTGAAACCAAAGATGTTTTTGCCTTTGAAATGATTTATAGACGACCTACTGTAGCAGATTAACTTCACTGACTAATCAGATGATGGTAGCAGCTCTAATCTTAACACAACAATCACATGAGGTCATCATTTGAACATGTGGTCACTGGCTCCAGATCAAGAGCACCAACGGACAGATTTAGAGATCTCTGCGACAGCTTCTCAAAGGCGAGGCTGTCAGACCGGCCGGCGACGTCTTCTCCATCATCTCTAATAAATGGACCTCCCAGGGACAGCGATGGAGAGCCGGTCATCACCAGCCGGCAATATGGAAGACGGTGTCTTCATTATTATAAGATCACGGGGCAACACCGGGGGGGGGGAGACTGTCTTCCTCTTTAGCCGTCACAGAAGCGGGAGAGAGAGATTGATAGCGCGGCGTCGTTTGAGCTATCGGTTATTCTGAATGAAGGACGGGCTTATTGGACGCAGGCCTCTCCTGCTGGCCAGCATTGATTTCCACTCACTCGTTTCGTCTCTCCGTGTCCTCGTGCTGCCGTCTCCCCCTTTTATTCTACCTCCCCCGACTTCCTCCCTGTCCCTTACTTATTCCTACATGTTTCCTCTATTCCGAGACAGAGACATGTAATAAGAGCGAGGAAATAAAAAGGACGGATGGAGAGAGAGGGAGGACAGAGTGAGAGACAAAGAGGAAGTGAAAGAGAGACAGCGGTGCGGAGGGAGAGACAGATGGGGGGGGGGGGGGGAGAGAGAGACGGAGCAGGAAACAGAGGGAGAGAGGGAGGTGTAATTATCTATCAGGTGTTCGGGTGTGCGTGACAGAGGAGGAAGCTCATTAGCACACTCTGTGTACACCAATTACACAGCCAGGCTTCTCAGGGCATTCCCCTGGCATGTCTGTGTGAGGCTCTCACTCTGTGGCCCTCACTGTAGAACACGATGCTAACGGACACATGCATGCAGGTACAACTTACATTATTCATATTAAAAACTAGGATTACCACCTCATGACTCGTGTGCTTCAACCAACCAGGCAAGTAGCAGTTTACATCCATATCTGTCCAATATGTCATCGTTTTATCTTCTTAAGACATTTGTGTGAAATTGACATAATTAGCATAAGAATTATTGAGTTACGGCCAAAAAACGTGTTTTTTTTTTAGGTCACGGTGATCAGTTCATCTGCTAAATTTGAGGACATTCCGTCCAGGCGTTCCTAAATATATGTTAACAACAACGAGGTGGATGAACAACGTAAAAACATGATCAAATAAATTACGGGCTGGGGGTAAAACAAAAACGATCTCATCACACAACAGACGACGCTGTTAAACACTACGGTAACGTGAGCCGCCGAGTATACAATGAATTCATTATATTAGTATTTATTCATGCTCATAAAACAACACAACAAAAGAACATGAAAGAAAACGTGTACATGTACCTTTTAGGACCTTTGTCTCTCTCAGAAATCACCCGTAACATAAAATTACTATTACTAATTTGGATTATTGCGATAACATATATTACGATTTATTACCTTTTTTCAATAACAAATTACACAGTTTGTCTCTTTTCCACATGGTTCGTCTCACTTCAATCATTGTTATTGCAGATAAATAAGTTCGTCAGTCAAGCAGACGGACTGACCGACACTCCATCTTTGTTTTGACCAACTTCCTGCCAAACCCGCTGACCCTACAACCACGACAGCACCAGAAGAAAACCTGCAAAGCATCGTCCAGGGCACTAAAAGAGCGAATGTTCCCGAAAGGTTTAATCTGTGTGTCCGTCTGTTGAATGTGTGTAAATGAAGAAGTAGGACGGTGACTGTGAGGAGAGGACGGCTCACCTGTGGAGGCTGTTTTGTCCGGATGAAACCACTCCTACGTTGGCCACAGACAGGACCTGCGTGTTGACGGTCTGGCTGGAGGTGTTAGCTGTTGCCATCGTGACGGTTGCAGAGGTCTCGTTCATGCCCAGGAGCTTACCTAACAGGACGAGAAACGTTCAGCCAATCAAACAGGAGCTTCATTCTGTCACTACTGTAGATTCAATGTGTCCGGTTTAAAGTACATACATAGCAGACATGTTTATACTATCACTATAAAGTGTTGTGGATATAAAGAAGAAGAATTTGGGACTGAACAACAAGATAAAACTGATTTTGTTTGTGACTAAAATGAGGAAAAATCTTCGATAAATGCAAACAGATTTGGAAAAAACCTCTCAATTGAAGGCAAATGGCCGGTTCATGTGCACTTAGTAACGAACAAGGATTTTCGAGAAAGAATGAAGATAAATATGCACAAGTTAGGCAGAAATAAAAGAGGTCTTCAAGGCAAATATAATGAAAAACCTGTAAACTGAAAGAATTAATTGACTTCACTCGATTGGTTTAAAGCAGCAATTTGCTAGCGAGAGAAAAGGTTCCGGCAAAGCAAGTCGCTCCACTCTGTTTTGTGCGAGGTGTACTCAGCAGAGCTCAAAACACAGCGAATGAAGATGAATTAAGGCAGAAGCAGCATTAAGCGCGCACTCAAAAGCCCGCTGATGGCCGAGATACGAGTGTGCTCTCAGCTCTCAATGGCCGCCTCACTATGCAGCTCTACAGGTGTGTGTCTGTGGAGGGAACACCAGTAAGTGCTTCAGAAGAGGCTTTCATGACAATGGTGAGGACATGTTTGTTACTAGAGGCAGGCTGCTAGGATTTAATTTCACTTTATAAATATAACTTGTGACTACTGCACGCAATAGAAAACTCTAATTTAAAGATTGTAAACCTCTATCTTTGTCACCGAGCTGTTAATAGCTGTTTAACATTTAAATCAAGTTTAAAGAAAAGGTATGGTGTATTTATACATGTCACAAATATAACATTGGAGTTTTATTTGACTGCTGCTGTAAGTACTCGCTGGAGTATCTTTTATTTCACATCCATCAGTATTGAAAATTGTATTTTCAGACCAAATAAAAGCAAAGGAATCTGTTATTTTGTCACAAATTTCACTCAAAACTAGATAAAAAAGCAATAATGTACGCTTCATTAACAAACGCTGCAGCAAATCAGCCTTTTCCAGTAACATGTTAAAGCATAAATAGCCATGTGCATGTATGGTAAACGTGATTTTATCTGAACAGGTCATGTGCTTCAAACACTTTGAATTAGCAGGGCAACAACTCAAGTTTGTATCTGGTGATCTTCACTGTGCTTTCAGCTTATCACGAGAGTTTATATATTTATTTAGAGAACATGACGTAGCCCACCTTGCTCCTTGCTGAAGTCTTGCTCCGTCAGGGTGCTGGGCATTAGCAGCTCTCCCACAGCGGGCTGGATGGACACACTGAACTGGTCCTCCTTGGTGCTGAGGCAGCAAAACAACAGTAAGAGAAAAGAAACTTATTTAGAGGACATCTAACACAAAGCAGGAACCTGGTTACAAGACATCAGACCTCAGGAAAGAGTACGTCTTTCCGTACGAGTTTGCCGTGACAGATTCATCAAACGCTCCTCACTTCAGATAAATGAACGACCAGCGTAAACATGACGAATTGTACGTTCATGAAAATTGTAAATTAGCATAAACGCCCCAAAAACACCACATAAGACTACACGTCATGTCCTCTGCTTTCATAGATCATTTTTTTATCATTTTAAGTGCATATGACTCCCACGAAAGCTATGATACAAATTGTGAAAATTCAAAATACGACAGTTTTATATTTTGAATTAAGAGAAAGCACTTATCTGACCTTTAAACATAAACTAAAGAGAGCAAACCGATCATAGTACCGTTACATACTCATTCTTTTTACATATCTGCTACTTTTGTATCATATCGTGTCGTATTGTGTCAGTATTGTGTCAGTATTGTGCCAGTATTGTGCCGTAGTATAGAGCTCGCTGCAGCATTGTATTGATAATAGCCGATTTGTAAGAAGCCAGTAAAAGGAACTAGAGATGAACATTCGCTCTCTTACATGGAGGTGTAAACTGAAGTGTTGATGTGTACTGTCCCTGGTAAATAGGTAAATAGAAAAGTTACATCACTTAATAAGACTTAAGAACAAATCTATTCCTGCATGTTCTGTAATTTAAATCCATCTCAACGTGAGTAAACGGACAATGACGTGTGACACAGTGAGCGTGTGTTTTGTGCACTTGTGTCTATTCGAGCTTTGTTTGTGTATTACATGTTTCTCCTCTGATTGCCATTCACACGGTTTGCAAGGCATTTTGGGTCAGATTGATTTCCCCCCCCCCCCCATCCTGAACAGATTTTCTGATAAGGTTATTGATCAGCTGAGCGGCGGCGCCGATGGCATTCAGCAGCTTGATTTGAGCCGGGGCTGATTACTGGCGTAATAATTGTTATCCCAGTGAACCCGGATCAATCGCGGCTGATGTCTCACCTGGGAGTGCCGGCACAGAACCGGCAGGAAGAGGAGAATTACCACAAAACAAATGAGAGAGAGAGAGAAAAAAAGGATGCAAATGAATGGAAGAGAAAGAGGGAGGGAGGTGTGAATCTGGAGAAAAGAGGTAGTGAACAAGATGTACAACTGAAGGTCGGAGAAGGAAAGAGAAAACGTGATATGAGCGGATGTCAGGTTGTCTCACCACAACTGGAAGTTGGCTGCTTGTGTCGAGTCGCTGAAGTCAATACCCATGGAAACCGTCACAGAGGCCTCTGGCTCCAGCCGCTCTGAGGAAAAAAAGAGGGAAGGAGGAGAGGAATAGTGAGTGACAAGGGCACAGTGTGCAACGTAAGGAAGGATGGAGCAAAGGGGGAGGAGGGAGGGAGGAGGGAGGGCAGCAGCAGAGTGGAACAGACAGGCATCCACACCACTTGTGTTTTCTACTTCACAAAGCAAGGCCACCGTGTGTGAGAAATCTATCCTTCAATCTCACCCCCCTCCCCACAGCTCTAGCTTCGGGGAGGAAAACACACACACACACACACACACACACACACACACACACACACATGAAGGACTAGCATATTTTCAAAACAACAGGCTTGTCAAAGAGAGCATCAGCATCAAGAAGAGACGAGGTGAAGGAGCAAGATGGAGGAGAGTTAAGTAAAGCCACCAAAAAAATGTGCTGAAGAGAAAGTCTGGACAGCTGAATGAGAGAGGAGGAGGAGGAGGAGGAGGAGGTGGTTCAGGATGAGAAGAACACAGACAGACAGAAACATCCTCCGTGGAGCAGAGCTATTTTACTGTAGAACTCTTTCCACGGACGGAGAAGAGACTCCAGAGAGAAAGCCCTCAGAAAACAGAGTCATCATAGACTCACTTCCACTCCAGCCTTCACTCTGCTCCAACAGACATGTTCTGGACTTGATTCTCATGTTTTTAACAGTCTAGTGGTCTGTGTTGATATAAATCATGAGATAAACTATTTAATATAACATCTGGAGAACATTTCAACTGATGATTTAACAGATTTTTCACCACAAATTGTGTGCAAAGACGCCACGGCTTCACGTTTGTTAAGTAGGTCGAAGTTAAAGCAGGAAGTCAGAGTGTAATCTGCGACGGATGTTTAAAACAGATTATTTTATTGTTTTTAGGGACTGTTCAAATACGTTTGTTTACAACCTGCGGGATCATTTGACCGCTCACGTTTCTTGCTCTTTGAATGTCGACATGTTCCCAGATCTCAGCAATTAATCTGGTGAGCATGAAGTTATTATTACCGATAGGAACGGCAACGCAACAGAATATAACCCACACTGTAATAAACCGGAACGGTCCTTTAAACCACATTAAACTCACAAAGCTACTTCTCCTTTTCCACCAACATTAGCACGTAGATGCAGCTTTTACAAACACGGGAAAACAAAACAGGCGATAGACTTCTTTCCTTTTTGTGTTTTTCAGTGATTAGCAAAGTAAAACTACCGTTTCTGTCAACGGAGTCTGGTAGCTTTGCGAGCGCATTTAACGGCTGATTCTTTCCACATCTATCTCTGTGAATTAAGGTTTTATTTTGACCAAATCAGAGTTGGTGATTGTGTGGAAAGACAAAGACGGTTTTGATGAGTTAATTGTTGTTTCTGTCGAGTTTGAAGTGTTTTTCGACGACTTGACTGTTGCCCGACTATAAAATATTCAAAGCAGAGGTTTTCCAGTAAGTAGTTTTTTTTTTTTTTAGATATATATAGATATATAGATATAGATATAGATATATATAGATATATAGATATATATAGAGATATATATATATATATAGAGATATAGATATATATAGATATAGATATATATATAGATATATATAGATATATATAGATATATATAGATAGTATAAAAAACTATTTCATTTTCAACAGCTAAATTACGTGTTTTAAGTAAAGCAATGTGCAATATTTCTGACTAAATACAAGCCGTGTTATTTATCATCCCCTCGACAAACAAACAAACACAAAACAGCATCATACAACGCTTCGCCTGTCATCCTCTGCAACTTATCAACACCAACTCCAGCCAGCAGCTCACAGTAGCCGGGCTTCCATCGATCCAAATTACCCACTGTTTGGCTGCTCGAGTTCCTTCAATGCCCGATCAATCGCCTGCAATCGACAGCTTTAACGTGCTCCACCGCACACCGGCATGGGAAAAAGGGGAGAATCTTGAGGGAGCACTGTTCTCAGTCTTATATTATACGGAGTGCAGCAATCACGCAACGCCGTGACAAGAAATATGGAGATTGCGCATGTTTGTTCGGCCTGATCGATACTAATGAACAGGGATTAGCCGAAGTAATATTGGCTGTTTTCAGGTTGGGGGGGCCGAAGGGCTGTAGGCTATTTGCTGAGCTGATAGCAAACAGGCTTTAAAATGGTCATTTAATATCTGCCTGAGAAAACAATCATGGAGCTGTAGAAATTCCAGAAAGCCATCGTGAATGAAGAGGAGAGACGACACATGTTGGAGGCATCCAAAATCTGCAAGTTTTATAATAAAAATGCATTTTTAAAACAAGCAATATTGGATCCCCCTGGTTTTTGAGGAGTATTTTACAGGTGTGGCGCTCGTACTCACCGATGGTGTTGAAGCAGTGGATGTTGAGGCTCGCCGGGCTTCGGTCTCCTATGTGGATCTCCTCCAGGCTGTGGTCTGAGCTGTTGGTCAGTGTGACCTGTACAGCCACCATGCTGGGCTGGTACAAACAGGGCTGCCTGGGGAAATGGTACTTGGCTGACAAACCTTTCCCGGTCATATGGTGAAGCAGCTCGTAGGTTTTCACAGGGCCAAAAGACGGAGTGGTGACCTGAAGGGACGTATGGAAGACAGGAATAAACCTCAGCAAACATCCAGTCTATCATCCTCTTGAGGAGAGCATATTAATTGAATCTTTTGTACGTTAACAAATTATAATAATTGTCCAAATCCCTGTTGATTGTATTTACAATATATTCACTTCCAAGTTAAGGACAAAAGTCTGGTGTTAGTGGGTATTTTGTCCAGTGGGAATGAGGCTCTAGTGGGATTTTGTGCTCCATGAAACTTCTTGATTATCAGAGAAATAAGCTGCAGTATTGCCTGGATTGATCTACGAACAACTAAGCACTGCTGGAAACAACAGCCTGAGAGCAGAAGCAGAAAAAGGAAAAAACAAAAACATGCAGAACATTGCCCAGAAGCCTCAGGCTCTCCACATCAACACAATATATCCAGGGACGCCTTGCACATTACAGTGCAAATGCATTCACACAAAAGCACAGATTAATACAAGAATCTCCGGTCTTTCCATCACATGCAATTCTCCGTGTCCAATCAGCGGGAAGAATCCAGCACTTCTGAGTGAAGTGGGACCGAGGGTTGACTGGTAACTCCCCACCAACCCTCCCTTCATTACGGCTGCGGGCTAAAGACGAGCCCATTTAAGAAATGTTCTCAATCAGCCCAGTTAGAGGGAAATGGGCTGGATGCTCGGTCCGACCAGGCTGAATAAAAACAACCTCTAATGAATAGAAACACAAGTGCCTGCATGGGCCAAACCTGCCGCTCGCAGGGGCTTTTACCTTTTCAGAGGCAGGAAATCACATTACCTTTGAGAGTTACGGGAAAGAAAGGAGGCGAACGCGTCGGTGGTGTTTTCTTTCTCCCGAAACATTAACATCTCGTTACTCAGAGGAACATTGTTCACACTTTGTCAGCTCTCGTCAGAAAGACGAGGTCGGCCCACACAAAGCACGCAACACGTTGACCTGTCAAACATGACAACGTCCGCATTAACGGGGATTAACTTCACACCTCAAACACTCAAAATATTAAAAAGCAGCGCAAAAAGTAGGACGTTTAAGGTAGTTTCTTGAAGTCAAAAAGGTCCGTCTGCCTTGAGTGACAGCACTAATTAGTTCAAAACATCAGGGCGAATGAAGCCTTTTCACACCCTCTAAAACACCTCAGTAGATTCATACGCTGACACAGAGGCAACAACAGCGCAAATGAGGATGAGTTCAGAAACTGAAAAATATCTATTTAACGCCTGAAAGTGAAAAATCTGACTTCTCAAAGAAGTTGTAAGAGTGACAAAGAGCGCAAAACAGTGAGGAACGATCATGCACAGGGTGTGAACTAATTCAGCTAATTGAATATGACTAATAATATGATATGAAGAAACGCAGTGGAAACATGCAGGCGCTGAGTGGTGTCAGGGCACATTGTGTTGTTGAAGCCGGACACGCTGGCAGCGTGTTTCCGACTCGGGTCAGAAATGTACGAGGCATCCGACGACGAAGTGTCACGATGTGTGTGCGAGGATGAAGAATCGGTTTGACGCAGGACAAGAAGCCGTGGAGACGAGTTTCAACGTGTTCGCTTCACAAGGCGAGAAGTAAAACACTCACGATCAGTGTAGCGGAGCAGCAAGACGTGAGAGAAACAGCAGGTTTGGGATATATTTACTAAGGAATAAGACATAAAACATGAAGCTATTTCCATCAACATTGAGGTCAATTGAAAGTTGGCTTCAAAAGCCTCTTACTCAATCCTGTTTACTCATTCTTTGACTCAATATTTACAGGAAAAGTTGCTTATTTCAGACAATATGTTTTAGGTAAAGTTCTTGTACGACTGTTCCTGTTGAAGGATAAGAATACCGGTTTATAAAAAATGGGAACGACAGGAGAGATCATCACATCTCTGTATTCCATCTAAAGTCTTCTAGAAATCTCAGTAAGTCGGTTTCCACCGCGTATTATTTGATTTGTTTGTTGAATTCTGAAACTTCGCAGAGCTCCAACTCAAAAGTCAGGAAGACTGCGGAGAGAATAAGTCAGACATGGCTCCACAACAAAGTTGGTGTTGTGTTGGGGTAGAAGTCTGGATGAACCTGCTGCATGTGCACGCTGATTTACAGTAACCAGGTCACTAAAGTGCATGTAAACCCGCTCTCAGATTACCCATGAAGCACCACAAACTGCGGCCTCCATTAATGGATGCATTAGTGTTAGCTAGGTGCACATAATTAACTGGCAGCTGAGCTTATTTGTGACTTGTTTTCCAGGTTTGAAGTCTTTTGGCACCAGAATAAAACATCTCTGAAACAATCCTCTGCAGAAGTGACAGAACAAACTGTCCGATCACCGTCCCCTTGACGGAGCAGCAGCAGCGTCTCCTGAGCTCAGACCGGCCCGAGCGCCTGTAAAAGGAGGTCAAACAAACATTTGTTGTCGGGCCGCAACGCCGCGCCGCCAGCCTGCATATTTATCGGGCCACTTTTTGAGCGTGTCAGAGCAGTCGCCGTCGATAAAGCTGGCTATAATGTTTGCGACGGAGATTTACCTCCCTGACAGACACATCCTGCTTCAAGGTCCCGTCTCGTCGTCCTCGGAGGACGGGACGGAGGCTTCAAACGGCTTATTATCACCAATTTGACACAGTGGACGGTTAAAGCCTGACACGAGCACCCCCCCCCCCCTTCACTCGTCCATCCGTTGTTGTCCTGTTACACGAACACCTCAAGTGTAAATAAGAGAAGAAGAGGGATGTAACCTTGACTTCTCCGTCAGTCTCCCTTCCTTTTCTTTTGGCTCCCCCGTTCTCCCGCCCCGGACAGGAAGGAGGGAGGTGACAACGAGGGGAGGGAAGTTGATTGAGAGGCTCTATTATGCATCAACTTAAAGGAAGCTCCCGTGATGGATGACACAGACACCAGTCACCTTCAGAGCCCCGGACGCCACGCTCCCAGCATCCTCTCTGGCAAATGACCTGAAAATCCCGCTGACATATTCAAAAAAGGAAAACGGGGGCTAACCGGGAGCCGGGTAGCCTTGTGCCGTGTGCATAAGAGGGCCAATTTAAAAAGAAAGTGGCGTGGGGAGCACAGAGATGTACGGGCACATATTGAAAATCCATTTCTGTTTCTCAGCCACCGTCTGCCGCCAACACCGCAGACAGGATTTCATTATGCTCTACAAGAGTTGTGAGGATTAAGGTAAGGGACATGTGTTTGACTTTAGGGCCTAATTGTTCCCCTCAGTCAGGAGATGACAATTAATTGAGGGGCGTCACAAAGACCTTGACCGCAAATTGGATTAAGTAAATGTTACTACAGCCATCGAAAACTACTTCAATGTAACAAGAAGTCTCTCCGGCGCATACAGACAGAGGTTACTTAATTTATGCCAATTTGTCAGTAAATTAGGTGTTTTAAAATGATTAATTTTTTTGAAATTTTCCATTAAAGCAGATTAGGAATAATAGAGGGTTGTTATTCAGAAACAGTATTGTCCTTCATTCAGCTCTGCTAGTATTGTTAGCAGACGGTTTCTTTGCATTAGCAGGATATTTAATAGAAGAACATTGTTTAATCAATTAAATGCACAAATCAACTTCACACAGCCCAAAACCCAAAGATATGACAATGTTTAAAATATATATATATATATATATATATATATATATAAATGCATCTTTCTAAGATGTTTTTTTATTGTCTAACTGGCTTATCTTTCTGTCATAGATCATATTAAAGTAGAGTATTTAATTTCACTTGTGAATGATTAAAGTACATTATAAACACAGTAACACTGGCTACAGAACACAAAAGAAACCAGTGTACTTTTTTGCTACTTTACTTCTATTCTACTACATTTCAAAAGGATAATATACGTTCAGTCCGTTCCATTATTGAATCATGAAACTCAAAGTTAGTATAAAAAAAATACGTCGTTTATTTTAAGTCAACTGGGTTCATTCATTTTGCTAGAATTAATTCGTCTTGAGATGAAATCCATAATGTTGTCTTATTTTAAGTAAAACTTTAAATGCAGGATCTTGTAAGTACTTTTTAATGGAGTACTTTTTAAGCTATCGTATTGTTTCTTTTACTTCCTCACAGGAAGTCACCAGCTGCATAAAACCAACGTGTCCATGTCGGTCTTAACCATAAATAAGATGCAACATCCATATGTGGCATCACATTCATGTTCAGGACCCTAATTCACTTGCTTGCAGGGATTAAATGGACATCTCAGCTGTTGCAAGGGACGATGAAAACAAACGGATGACCTCGGAAAATAACAAACACTAGGAGACAGAAAAAAGACTAAACGCCTACACACACAGATAAACACGCACTCACACAGACACACACATAGTTACTAAAACGAGGTAATGTAAAGAAATGCTGTATTAAAACAAAGTATCCAGCCGCAGCCCCGCGTCTGTGAGGGCATTTATTCCTGTTTAAGAGGCAATCTCCTCCGTTTGAGTGGCAGCGGGAGGTTTCGGAGGGCAGGCCGCTGCTATATTCGTGGCGCTCGGGGGTCCTTCTGCTGATTCATAATTAGACGTGAACCCGCGGAGCGCCCACTACGGGGGAGGTCAGAGGGGTGAGGAGGGAGGCGGGGGAGGCGGAGGCCCGCCTGATGGACACCAAATGAACAAATTATGATGGCCCCCTCTGGGCGTGATGGGGTCAAACGCCGCGCGCCCCGCCGCTGACAGTTCAATTTCCCCCCAAAGCAGCCCCATTCGCCGACCGCTAATTATGAATGAAAAGTTATCAGCCTCGGCCGCCCCCGCCGCACACACGGACAGCGGTCGGAAGAGGTTTCGGGGCGCGTTAAGGGAGGGAGGGGGGGGATTTAAGAGGCATTTGTGAGAGATCCTAATGTCAAAATGTTATTAGAGAGAGCGGTAGCATGCAGAAACCGGGGAGGAGGAGACAGAAGAGGAGGTGGGTCAGAGACAGTGACCAGGGTTAATCTAAATGCCTTTGATAACCATGCAGTAATTCTCTAAAAGGGCCCGAGCGCTCAGCTGAGACACACTCGCTGCCTCTGTGGGCAGATTGCTGAGAAATAGAAATGACACAGGGGCCAGTGTGTGTGTGTGTGTGTGTGTGTGTATAAAGGGGAGGTTATTTACCCTTGTCTATGAATCCCGATGCCCATCATGTATTTATGCATAGAATTGACTCTAAATCAGATGTTGATGTGCGAAAAAGTTCCCTGTTTTCTAATCTGCATTTCTATTCTCTATTACTCCACGGCCTTCACCTGAGGGGGGTGGGGGGTGGGGGTGGGGGGGGGGGGGGTGACTAACAAGACTCGCGCTGTATAAACGCTGGTCTGAGAGCAGCTGTCAATCATACTGACAGACAGGCGGGCACGCTCAGAATATAGAGTAACTCAACACAAAGCTAGAGCCGGGGCAGAGGAGGGAGATGGTAAGAACACGTCCGTCTACCTGCAGCAAACTCATCGTTAACACTGACTCACTTTTAAAGCATCTTTAACGTAAAGTCTTTACGTTTCTATCACACACACCAGCGTTTACCTTCGATTAGACTGTAAATGAATCTGAACAAGCAGCACAGTCTGAAACTGTTGAGCTTTAGAGGTGCTTACACACTAAGCTAATTGGCTGTAGCTCCATATTTTTGAGAAAGCCGCATTGATCTTCTCATCTAACTCTTAGGCAAGAGAGCGAACAAGCATCGTTCCCCAAAATGTCAAACCTTTGCTCTCTAATGTAACTCTACAGAGACGTAAACACGCACCACTCCCTGAGTCTGGTGATAACGCAAAAACTAAAGCGGGATCAAAGCTTGCGACCGTCCTTGCAGAGAGTATAACCGAGGCCCGAGTGGTACAAACTTAGCTTAATATATAAAATACTATAAAAGCCCTTAAAGGGACGGGCATTCTAAATTAGCATCCGCTATGAACACTGTGATACTGGTACCAGATGTACAACAAAATAAACAAATAAATGTATTTAAGAAGTAAAACAGAATGTGGTCAAGTTCAGACCTGAGTATTGTAGAAGAACACCTTTTAGGTGATTAATGGACAAGTCAGCTGGCTAAAAATTCATGTTTATCAATTAATTATTTACTTAATTGATTGCAAATGTAATATATTTTGGTTTTTACTCCTTGCTAAAACAAAACCTTGCGCTCTGAGCAAATCTTTAACCGATTACATGATTAATAAAAATAAAAAAAAGGATCCACAGATCAATTATCAAGCAAATGAATCGCTACATGCAGCCCCCTTTTATAATTATGCGTAATCTATTAACAGCAAACCAATTTAAAGTACATTTTCAAATTAAAAGCACGTGTCGAACATGTAAAAACAGACACAACTGTTCTGATTTAAAACCTCCAAACAGCAGAGACACAAAACAGAAACAGCAGCAGCAGAAACAACGCTCTGGACATGTTTTCCTCCCGAGGGGGAAGAAAAGAAAAGACAAGATAGAAAACATACAGACGTGTAGAGTCGCTCACATACTGAGGAGAGAAAGGAGCCGTCACACTAGGAAAGGTCAACCATCAGATATACACAACACCGAGACACAAGGGACACAACATCTGACAGAGAGAGATGGAAGGTGACAGAGAGGAGGAGGGAGATAAGAGAGAGAGAGAGGGAGAGGGGGGGGGGGGGGGGGGGAAAAAGGGGGTGGACTTATAGATGAGACACAGAAATAGAGTTCAAGGGTGTGGGAGAGCAAAAAGACAGCGAGGGGTGAGAAAGACAGACTATAAGAGATACAGGAAACAGGAAGAGCAGTTGTGCCGTCCTCACGGGCTATAAATATAAGACGGCAGAAAAGGTCAATAGTCGGCGTCTGGGAGCATAAAAATGTTCCACAAGGGAGAGAAGCTCATTCCAGCAGCTCATACGGCGCTCCGCTGTTTCTGTCAGTGTCAGACAGAAGAGGAACAATCGACTCTCAACACACGGGGATGGAGGAAATGTCTCTCTCTCTCACACACACACACACACACACACACACACACACACACACACACACACTAACCTGCATGGTGGAGGAGGTGTTGGAGAGAGAAAGGCCCTCGAGGTCGGACAGCAGGGACAAAGAGACGACCGAAGACTTGGGTGCGTTCGTGGGCGCAGGAGAAACTGAAAAACAGAAGCTTGTTAAAGACACTACGCGCTGCTGTCTGACACAGTGTCTTGTATTGATACAGCCACTAGGGGGAGACAAAGACAAGAATCTTTACATTCTACACACAGTGGCTTTAAAGCTACACTATTTGTCAACTAACATATCAACTTAAAACAAACGTCCGCACTGCAATTAGGTTCACTTAGGTAGTTTTACAGGTGTGTTACATTTGGTAAAACGTGATCTATATACGCTCCGTGTTCTGCACTATGAGACAGGAGATTTAGTAGGATCCCAATGAGTAGGATTTTCCTAAAAAACAATGCATAGACTGATACAGAAATGATTCCTCTCAGTCATCACTTATGACCCACTAGAGGTGCGTGTTCGGGACGTTTCTGGGCGTCAACCTCTATAAAAACATGGCGACCGTGGTGCCAGATCGTAAGTACGCATCCAAGAGAAAGCTACGAAAATGGCGAAAAGAGCGCCGCAAAAAACAAATGTCATTATTATTGCTGCCTTAAATAAATCTATTTGTGTTTGTGAGCAGGGCTAAGAGGCTAAAGTCATTTTTTTGTTGAAGGGTGAGATCAGGCCCACAGGTAGCTATCCACCACTGCCTTATGAAGTTAATGTTTAACTTAATGAGTGTAAACATGATCTATTGACACAGACATTTCGATCTGGCCACCGGACAAATTTAAAGCCCAATATTCACTCTCGTATAAACTCTCTTCAGCTCCAGAGAAAGATATCTTGGTCATTTAATGGTCAGCGGTAAAGGTGCAGATAGACTCACAGTCATCTAGATCCAGTAAAGAGACTTCCTTCTTGGACTTCCCTTTCACCTGGAAATCAAACACAGCAACATGTCGATGAGCAGCAGAGAAGACGACGACCACTTCAAAACAAAAGTAATGAAATTGTGCGTTGTGAAATGTTTCAATTGTGCTGGCAGTGTCTCTGGAGACATGACACATTCATCCCCCCCAAAAAACAGATACTCTGCACTTATATGCAACACGTCTGGAATCTTTTTCAATGGCCAGTCATGCACAGTGTCGTGTCACAACCGATACAGGCCGCCCCGTGCGACTGAGGCGGGCCTGTCAGGTGTTGACTTGTGGGAATTACAGCATGCGGCGCCACAATAAAAAAGGCATTTAAACATACGAGCGCTTTTATCGCCCTTTCTGCAGACGCTCCTAACCGGCCACGGCTGCTTTCACGTCACATAAAGAACCATAAAATTCCACTCTGCGTACTCCGGGCTGAGCCGACGGGAGGGGACAAACCAAACAGGAGGAGGAATAAGTGAGGAGAAAACAAACAATAAAGTTAGAAGCCGCATCTTATCAGATCTTCTCTGATCGACGCTCGGTCGGCGGTAATAGAGACGGAAACCTTGTTAGCAAACGGAGGTCTGAGAGAGCAAGAGGAGTGGAAGAAAGATGCATAATTCATAGGCCGTGTCCAAATGACAAACTGTACGAAATGAGGATTTCATAGTGCAGAAAAGGAAAGTGGAGGGTGAGAAAAAATGTGATGAGCAAAGCAGGTAAGGAGAAGATGGTGAGGGCGGAAAGAAAAGGGGGCGAATGAAACAACACGGGAGCAAAATTACATCCCGCTAAATAAATTGTGATTTCGACGCTCTCTCCACGTGTGTGTGTGTGTGCGTGTGCGTGAGAGCCTCAGGAACTACAACTCCCAGGAGAACCTGGTGTTTCTACAGTTGAACAGCAGAGATCCAAAACAACAGCTTCTCCATCAATCCTGTTTGCACAGATATCACATTCTACACGGTTTAAACGTGTACAATTGTGGAATATTTTAGCCCAGGGATAAACATTACATGATAGTTTGACACATGCATGAACTACAATTGCATTGAGTTTAACATAGAAGTTGAAATTAACGTAACGAAAGTAACATCTCTTACAGTGTCGTTGCTCCTCAAAGGATAAATGTCTCTGAATATTACCCCCCACTCGTCGTCCGTAACTGATCAATAGACTGGAAGTAACCTTAGACTCCATCCTCATGAAGTCAGGATAGCTGAAAACATCCAGTGATTAAAGCATGGTGCTCTGGTGAAGAGTTGTGCAACATGTTTCATGTTTGTAGTTTTTTGTTTAGAATTGTTCTGTTACTCAGTTAAACCAACAGTTCATCTGAGATCCAAATGGACCCGACTAAATCCCAGCGTCACCTCGGGTTTGGACTTCACGTCGCTCTTCTTCTTCTGTTGCGTTGGGGGGGCGTCTGAATTGGAGTCCTCGTTGTCGGTCTCTGAGCCGGAGGAGCTCTCGGCCGACGTGCTGCCATCTCGGGCTACGGGTCCATTTCCGTTTTCATCCGAGTCGCTGAAACACGTGGAATCAAAACAAGGAACGGATTACATTACTGCACATTTACTTTGTTTTTATCACATCTACAGCGTCCATTTGAACAAA